ATATTATTTATATTTCTGCCTTAATTAATTTACACTTTAAAGCATGTGTTGATTGTTTATTAAATGTACAATAGAAATGCATGTTTTTCTTAGGATTCTTTCTTTTTTTGCTTAGGGGTGGTTTGGATGTATGGATGTGGTAGGATCTTAGAATAAAACTAAGATTTCTACATGTTAAAAATATAAACAATCTAAAATTAACTTAGGCTCAATGATTTTCAAATAAAAAGAAAATTACATGGCTCCCTTTCAAAGAGTTAAGTTTTCTAAACATTAATAATTATGCATATCCCAAATATGTTTAATGTAGAATATCCCTCAATAAGTACTAGATAACAAAAAAATTTATTTTTTATGAGTTAGCATTATGCATACCAAACATAATTAGACATCTTGGCTTCAAAGCCAAGTTGTAAGCCCTACTTCCCAAACAAAAATATCCTCCATACTCTTTATATGCATTGAGACCAAAATCATGCTTTTTAAAAGTAACTAGGTAGGTCTAGCTGGTAGCCCTTTCTAGGCAGGAAAGTAAATCTAGATGTCGGACTGGCTATGCCTCATATAAGGTGCAGTTTGTAAGTCCATTTGAATTTTATTATACTTAGGTTCAAGTTACTACTTCTCGGTATTCTTCACCTTAGTTTTAGGATCTGAGGCAATAGTTGATTCCAATCATCATACAAATCATCATCTTTTGGGTAATTTCTCAAACATATGATGTTGGAAAGTAAGCCCCAAAATTCCATGGAAAATATCAACTTAAATCAAACTTAGATTCCTAAAATGTAAAGCATAATATGGGATAGTTTTAATACCTCTGAGTTTCTCTCATAATCAAGTACTCTTATATTTCTTTTATTTTCCCCTCGTTCAAAAAAAAACTAATTTCAATTTGATCCCCTCTCTTCCTTGAAATTTCTAAAGGCCAAAAGCCTTTAAATAAGATTTTATTGGATTTTAAAAAATAAAATTTAATCCAATGTCTAGATAATTTTTAAAAGCAAGAAAATCATTAATTTAATCAAAATTGTTCTCAAGAATCAAAGCTTGAGATATAATTAACCATAGGGGCTAGCCCTATGGGACACATGTACCCCAGAATAAAATAAACCCCATTTAACCAAACCTTTAATGGAGAATCTCTGTTAAATTACAAATTTTATCATTGAGTCCATAAACAAATGATATTTCTATCATTCAGAATAATATATCATCTTTCTTATGTCATACTCGATCATAAAGTATGCAATCCGTTTGAGGATAACAAAAATTCTCCAATAAGTTCTTTTGTATTTGTTCATATTTGGAATGTAGCGTAACCAAAATTCTCCAATAAATTTCCCACCCCCACCCCTTAATCTTATAATAGTGCTTATGGGAAGGTCATAACAAGAATTATCAGCCTTTCATTGCATGCTAATCACCGCCTTCATGTCTTGTTGAGGAACATTTCATGTATTAGACTATTGTTCGCATACATGATATGATTTTTTTCACATGTTTTACTCTTTGCTCATAAGTATGGCATCTATAATTGAGATGAATTGCTTTCACTTAGATTATGTATTCCCCTTCATTCAATTTGATTATCATCTACTGATGTTTGCTAGTATGCATTATTACACACATTAATCTCTTTCATTTGTAGGAGGAAAATATGTTTGTTTGTGTGACTGATACGTGCATCATAATAAATCATCATCATCTTTATATGGCTTTGTAACTTTTTCCTTCATCAGCTTATAATCAAATTACACATGTTCATGTTGATTTTTGTTAGTGAGGTGTTTCACATCATTCCTCATGTGACATTAGGATCTTTATTTTTCATGAGCCATTTCTCTATTCATTGATGTTCACTTAAATGCTTTAAATTATCATTTAGGATGTTACATTTTAATTTTATTATGTATTTATTACATTAAAGTTTGATTCCCTACTGTGCGTTCAAGTTCAAGTCCAAATACAATCCTGTTAATTATTCAAGTTTAGGTCCATTATTTTACCAAAACTTTAGGAAGCCTCCCAACGACTCATCTGTTTAAGGAAAATTTGAGAATTCGACCTTCCCACCATGCTAAGAAGAGCGTGTATGGTTGGTCAGACGATATCGCAATCATGAAACTTCAACCCCCACCACGCTACTAAAAGTGTGTATGGGTCTACGAAGTACTTGTTTGAAAACCCAATTGCTTTCCCAGCAGGCACTGAGGCTCACATGGGTACTTAAAGTTGTACTTGTCACACTATGAAGAGCATGTAGAGGGCCTACCAACCTCACCGTAAGCATCGCATCAGGTTTCCTCCTACCATGCTATGAAGAGTGTATATATGAGGTTCCCTGGCACGTTTCGAATGCCATATACAGGGTTTTAAGTTTTATAAATTATACCTCGATAAAGGGATGAAGTCGACGGTGCTAAAAATGTATATGTACTTTTTTACTCATTTCATTTCTCTCTCTCTCTCTCTCTCTATCTATCTTTTTCTTTCTCTTGTTCTTTTGTTTATACCTACGTATATATATGTACATATATGTATCTTTTAGCAATAATGATATTGCATATAATCAATGGTAATGGCCAATAACATGAATAACAACATTAATTTAATCAATAATAATAATTAATATCAATAGTAGAAAAAATGATAAAAGAAAAGCTTACCACTATGATTTTGTGAGGGAGTATATAGATAGGTTCACAAGCTCTGTTTGGTTCCAAAATAGGCTTATGGTTAAATGGAGTGTAAGTTGGGCTTTAGGATTGCAATAAAGCAGAATTGTCGGAAATGGGATTGGTTAAAGCTAAGCAAGCGGAGTGGTTATTATTAGACCCTCCTCTCTCTCTCTCTCTCTCTCTCTCTCTCTCTCTCTCTCTCTCTCTCTGGAAAAATAGGGGTAGTCATATCCAATTTCATTTCAAAAAATGAAAATTACAAAAGATAACAAATGATAAGTAAGAAAAACAAAAGAAAAAACTTACAATACCAAACTAGAACCTAATAAATAAATAAAAGAACTCTTTAAAAGGAGATAACAAAGAGAAGTCCTTCATAAAAGAAGGAACAAAAATTATAGAGAAGGAAACAAAAAACCTCCTAATCAACCACTAGCTAATAGGAAATCACACTAGAAGGCCAATATAGAACAATCAACCAGAATAGCACTAACCAACAACAATAACAGAGCTCAAATAGCAACAAGTCCTAGAACAACAAACAAACTCTTCCAGCACTGGAGGAACCAAAAACAGAAACAAATCCACTAAAGAAGGCATAAAGAAATATCTCCCCTAAAACAAGCTGCAACCAAAAAAACTTTTAAAACTTCCCAAGCTTCAATAGAATGTTCAAGTACAGCCCAACCAAGAAAAGCCTCCAAAAAAGCACCAACCAATAAAAATAATAGAGTTCCAACAGCATCAAGTCCCAGAATAGCAAACAAGCTCTTCCAGCACCAAATGAGGAACCAAAAATAGAAGTAAATCCACTGAAGAAGGAAGAAAGAAATTTCTCTCCTAAAACAAGCTGCAACCAAAAAAACTCTAATAAACTTCCCAAGCCTCAGTAGAACATTCCAGTCCAGCCCAGTTAAAAAAACTATTAAACCATAAAAACAAGATATTTTTACTGAAGAAACCTAAAAATAAGTAGCCACAAAATAACAACTGGAAAAATCCAGAGCCACTCACTAGCAGGATCAGAGAGTCAAAAAACTAAAAAGAAGCAAAGCCTATCCAAACCAAAAAACCTCCCTCTGAAGAAACATTTCAAACCACAAAAACCAAGTGAATATAAATCATAAAAAAAAAAACAACACCCAAGGAAAAGGACAAACCTAAAAAAGAAAAAACTGGCTATCCACAATTTTAGAGAAAAACCTGGTTACCATTTCTACGGGCTAAAACACCCATAATAGAATGAAAAGATTTCCAATGAGAAGCCTTAGCAATAAGATTAGAATAAATGAGTCTACTCAAAGTATTGAGTTAAAAAATTTATTCTCAAACTTCATATTATTTCTCTCTTTTCAAATAAAATAAATAAAACAACTAACAGACAGAAATAAGAAATTTTTAACTTGAGAATTAAAGTTAAGAGAGGAAATAAAGTCCAGTAATTGAACTAAATTTAGTCTGAACAGAAAAAAAGAATATTAGGAAAGAATTTAGAAATAATACTAAAAGAATAATCACATTCAAACAATAGATGATTGTGATTCTCATTAGCTTTCAAACAAATGATACAAGAAGTAGAGACATTAATATTCCTCTGAACTGGGACATCTGATGTTTTAAGCCCCTTTAATAAAGTCATCCAAGCATAGAAAGAATATCACAAGGCATACCTCATATGCTAAATCAACTTATAAGACTCAACTTTATTAGAGTCTTCAAAAAAGCTCTATATAGCATACTAAAGGAAGGAAGTAAAACTCCATTCCAAGCAATATTCAAAATTTGAGGATCCATGATAGCAACATGAGAAAAAATAGAACTAAGGGTGGGGCTTAAAGAAGAATCCAAATTCTAGCTTTTATCATAAATTTAATTTCCTAATTTCAGATTAAGAGAATCATAATCCAAAATAACCCTATTAGAAGATACAATTTCCTGAACTGATTTTCCCAAACACCACGGATCCCAATATAAAGAAAGAGAGCTGTTAAGAAAAATGTTAAAATGAATCTTTCCTTTAATATTTCTGGCAACCAAAGAGATATTCTTCCATAACATGGAAATCGGCTTCTACCAAGGTTTCCAAAAGGATAAATACTTAAATTTAACCCAAATAGCTAAAGGACCAATGTCATTGATTATTCTCCAGATAAGAGAATAGTTATGAGCAAAAATGAGAGCAACATGATAAAAAAGGCCCAGACCTCCAACATCTCTAGGCTTACAACTTTATTCCAAGCAATAATATGGATTTTCCTACTAGTAGGATCACCATGAAAAAGGAAATTAGAGCAAACTTTTCTAATAAATTTAAAACAATATTTAGGCAAAGCAAAACCCCTGATCCAATACAAAATAATATTGGAAATAGTGAAATTCAAAATTTGAACTCTCTCAATAAAAGAGAGCAATTTAGCTTTCCAATCAGCAAACAAAATAGTAATCCTATTAAATAAAGGCTGAAAATCAGTAACTTTCAATTTCTTACTAGAGGGGAAAACCTAAATATTTAATGGTATTATAAGAAGTTCTAATGCCAACAATGTAACTAATAGTATCTTCTAAAGGACAATCTTTAGAAAAAATAAGAGAGTTTTTACCGGTATTAACCAATAAGCCGGTGGCAGCCGCAAAATAGTCCAAGTTATCATTAAGTTTTCTACATTCTCCAAGGCAACTTTCCCAAAACTGATAATATCATCTGCATAAAGAAGATGAGAAATAGTATTATCACCAACTTTTATCCCCTCAATGATGTTATTTTGAGAATCATCCTCCAAAATAGTAGACAATGCATCCAAAATAATATAGAAAAGATAAGGAGAAAGTGGACATCATTATCGAATACCTGAAGTAGAATTAAAAAAACTCATGCATAGAACCATTAAGAATAATAAAAAAATGAACATCTTCTATGCAACCTATTACCCAAGTAATGAAAATCTCCGGGAAACCTTTTTGAATCATCCTAGAGATTAAGAAATCTCTAGAGACTGTATCAAAAGCCTTATGAATGTCAATTTTACAACAAAAAAACTTATCTCTAGGAAAATGTTTAAAATATCTAAGAAGTTCAACAGCAAGAATAATATTATCCGTAGATATCTTCTTCTTAATAAACCTAGATTGGCTTTTATGAATAATAAAAGGCATCATACTTTGCATTTTGTTAGCAAGAATTTTAGCCACAATTTAATAAAAAAATATTGCATAAAGAGATAGGCCTAAAATCTAAAACATTAAAAGCATTATTCATTTTGGGAATAAAAGAAATGGCAAACACCATAGTAGCTTTAGGAATAAAATAAGAATTAAAATAATAAAGAACAGCTTTACCTAAAGTAGGACCCACAACCTCCAAAGTATACTTAAAAAATTCAAAACTATAGCCATCGAGACTAGGGGAAGAGTTCTTTGGATTATGAAAAATAATCTTTCTAATTTCTTCAACTGAAACGGGGTAAACCAAAGTAACTTTTAAACAATCTGGAATAGTATTTCCCACTGGTATATTGAAAGAAGAAGAATTAGCTGGCACAGGAGAATTAAAAATCAATTTAAAATGATTTACAAAAGAATTATCAATTTCAATAGGGTCCGTAATAATCCCTTTACAAGAAGAAATTCCATTAATCTTATTGTAATTCTACCTACACTTGATTTTGGAATAAAGAAACCCTAAATCATCTTCCCCATGAGTCATCCATTTTTTTTATCCCTCTAAGAAACCCAAGAAGACCAAAGAGAAAGTTGAACTTTATAAAGAGAATTCACATTAATTAGAGCTAAATTGAGATTCTCATTCATTGGATATTTTCAATAGAAGAGGAAAGATGCTTAGAGGAAACCCAATCTTGCTTCTTAATTAAGACTTTAAGAAGCCTAAGCTTATTATAAAGATTATTGATAGGACTACCAACAGAGGCTTTAGAAAAAATCTTAATAAGAAACTCCCATAAACTATCATATTTGCACCAATAATTTTTAAACAAAAATCTATAATTAGAAGAAGAACAGTTATTGCTACAAAAAATTAGAGGTGAATGATTCGAGCAAAGAGGGATATCAACAACATAAAAGGAAGAAGGAAAAGCATTCAATGAAGAGTTATTAACAAAAACCCTATCTAATTTAATATGAATAGGGTTCTTACTCTAGTGATTGAACCAATTACAAAAATTACCAATATTCGAAAGCTCCAAAAGCCCATAATTAAAAATACAATGATTGAAGGCTCCCAAATTATTATAAGAAATAGCACTACCTCCAGATTTTTCATTAGAAAAATGTCAGCAGTTAAAATCTCCTAATAGAATCCATGGTTCAGTAATGTTAGAAGAGAGATGAAGAATATCATTCCAAAGATTAATTCTATTCATAGCAGAATTAGAAGCATAAATAGTCGTAATAAAAAAGGAATTGGAACCAAATTTAATAACCCAATGAATAAGCTGACTAGAAATAAGAATAGAATTGAAGGAAATACAAGAAGTATTCCACTTTAACCAAATTCTACCAGCACCAGAAAAATTAAAATTATTATAACTACCTTCTTGCTAAAAGATTATGTGTCTAGCCTCAAACCAAGAATTACCAAGAATATCAATATTAATTTTAGCTTCAAGAATGCAATAAAAATCAGCCTCAAACTTGTTAACAATATCAACATATGCCTTAACTTTATCTAAACAATTAAAGCCTTTTACATTCTAGGAAATAATATTATGCAAAGACATTAATGTTTAATATTCAAATTGGTGGCCTTCCTGACAGCTTTTGATCTAGTACATTTACTAATAGTAATAGCGATTTTATTACCAAACTATTTTGGAATAGTAATAACCGATGTAGAAATTCCTTGTAAAGCATTATTCGCATCCAAAGAAGCATCATTAATGAGGGAATCCAACACCTGAAACTTATTATGAGAATCAAAAAAATTGAATGAAGATTTCAACAAAAATGGATCATTATAAATACCCAAATTATTATTTAAATTGAGATTATCAACAATCTCATCAGTAGACAGATTTAATTGGATAAAATCTCATTAGAAGAAGAGATAACAAAACTCTCAAAAATTTCAATCGAATTAACCGCAACCTCCTAATTTTCAGAAACATGAATCAAATTATCCTGAGAACTACAAGAAGCTAAATTTGAATCAGAATTTTGCAACTCATTTAAAGAAACCTCTTTAGAATTTAATAAAGAATTAGAAAGTATATGAGTATTAGAAGGATCATGATCTATCTTTTGAAAAAAATTCTGAGGTTGTTTAAAAGAAGAAGATCTTACTGAGCCTGAAGCAACATTCCAAAGCTTCCAATTTTTACTTCTTCCCTTATTCGGTTTCTGAAAGTCTTCCTGGTTCTCACGAACAATTTTTCACTAGCTGTCATCAATTGCTGTGGCGGTTGAGTTGGACACAACACAGATGGATAAACAATTGAACCACAACCTTGACAAGGAGTAGGCTTCCAATCCTAAATAACTTTTAGAGAAAAAATGTTTCCAGCAATAGAGATATTAACTTCATCTGGAAGAATAGAATCCTTAAAAACTAAAATACAAACTTTATTAAAAGTGACTCTCGTTTGCTCTGCAGTTAAGGAATCTACAGCAATAGGAACCCTAATCAAACTAGCAATCTTTGAAATGCCTTTCGGCGTCCAACATAAAAAAGGTAGATCAAGAAATTTGACCCGTAAAGGAATGGATATAAACTCTTCACGCTTAGGACGAAAAAGAGGCGATCATTTCTGGATAATAAAGGGTTTACCAAAGAAAAACCAAGGGCCACTAGACCACACAAGTTCATAATCTTCCGGACAAAAAAACTTCATAAAAAAAAAACCCCTCATTCAAAGAAAGAAGGGTAAAACCACCTTTCAATTTCCACACCTTATGCATGACAGATTTTAAAGCTTCAAAATAAGGGCTCTTACCCAATGAGTATCCTACAAGTGTAAGGCCCCATTTAACCGAAGCAACAGAGACATCACCTTCAGAGACAAAGCAAGATTATCAGAAGACGGTAAAAAAGAAACTGAGAAAGGTTTGGATGAATATTGACTAGAAGTCAATACTCCATTCCACTCTTTAATTCCCATCGGGAAAACATCTGAAACCAAAGAAGAATTCATATCTGATTTTAAAGTAAAATCAGATAAATAATCCATGAAACAACAAAAGAAAAATGATCGCAAACAATAAAAAAGAGAAAATCCTAAGAGAATCCACCAAGATGGTGGAAGAAAGCAAAAAAACAAGCAAACAAAAACTGCTTAGCGAAACCGGGAAACCCTCATCAAGAAAAGATCTGGGATGCAACTCGAGGATCATCAATCATGAAAAAGGAATGAAGAGGGAAATCCATTTCCTTCCGGAATCTCGCTTCCGCTTCCTCCAACGTTCCCTCCACAGTCCAAAACGTAGATCCCTCTCTCTCTCTCTCTCTCTCAATCTTTTCTTTTCTTTTTTTTTGAAGTGAGGCGGGCTATGAGCTGCTTGAGGTGATTTTGGGCCACTGCTGTTGTTGGGAAATGGTATGATAGAAAATAGGGGAGGAAGGCACTTGAATGTGAAGGAATAGTAGTGGAATCTTGTAGTTAGTGTTCAAGCAAAGGGTTCTTAAGAGGTGTTCACGGAAGCAGGAGGCTTGTGGCTAATAGACGGAAGGGGAGGCTTATTGTAGTAGCTAGGTAGGGATTGACAAAGGAGTCCGACTACAGGAACTTTGAACAGGACCGAAAGGGTTGGAATTGGGTTTGACTAGAGCGATTTTCAATCATAGATGAATGAGAGGGTAGTGCGTGAGGTAGATAAGGAGTTCTATCGAAGGCTTGTGCGAGGCTTGCTGATTGGGACAGGAGGTGGGATGGCGAGGGCAAATTATTAGGTCAGGTGACCGGAGGCGTAAAATAAGTTCGGACATTCAATAAAAATTTGCCGCGTCACCTTGCGCTTTAGTTGCGCTTTTTGACTTGCACTTTAGTTGCGCTTTGGTTGCGCTTTAGTTGTGCTTTTTGACTTGCGCTTTAGTTGCGTTTTACCTGCGCTTTAGTTACGCTAATTTTAAAATAATATTTTATTAATATCCGGACCTATCTCTGCATTCGGTCACCTGACCCGAGGTCGATAGTAAGGGGATAGGCATGCTCAACGAGATGCATGAGAACTGCGACTTCAAACAGTGAAGCAGGGCGGCAACTATGTCAATAAAGAGCTCGGGGCTCGGTTAGGCTTCAGGAAGAGCAGACGAAGGTAGGGATTTGGGGGTATCTCGTTAGCAGGAAAGCGAAAGGAGGCAGAAGCCCAGAGAACATTCGAGTCGTTGAGGTCGAAGAAGAAGCGAAGGTTTCATTCCATCAACATTTTAACAAGGAGCGCAGACACTTAGGCGAGGGATGGGCAACTATTGTGTGTTCATGAACATCACGATGCATAAGGATGGGCACTGTAGATGCGGCGAATATGACTTGATCATGATTCGAGCAGGATATCCGGCAGTTAATTATTTGAGCTCTTTTTTTTATTTTGTATATTCTAGCTTGAAGGTCCACAACATCAGGGTACAACCTCTAGCAAATATCTACTGAGAACATTCATGAATAACAAGATGAATACAAATAATAAATTATAGCTTGTTTGCTAAGAGAACCAAGTTGAATACCACTTGAGCTCATTTAAACTCGGCTTGCTTACAAAACCAACAGCATTGAACAAACATTTAAATATCCCCAACACGTGCATGAAACACACATAATTTATAACCAACAAGAATTAATGATGTCATGATAGCCATAAACAGCTCAAGTTCTCAAACTATATGTAAAGATAAAGTTTCACATAAAAATCAGAATATCACGCCAAAGAAAAACTTAATAGGAACTGAAACATGGCCCGTTTTGCATCAATTAGCAGCCAAGAAAAATTCTCTGATTTCTCTGAGTCACAGGTTTTTAAAAGCAGACTCATGAGCTTGTTCCTGGGGTGTCAGCCTTGCTAGTAATGCCTTATTATGACAATGCTCTGCATCGACAAAATAAAAGTTTCCATCAGCTTTGAAGGTTACAAATGGCCGATTGGTCTTGGCAGGTCTGACATCAGAAAACTTGATTGTTCTGGGAATATAAGTTGCCAACCAACTCATCATTTCAACGTCAAAGGAATCAGAACCAGGCTTCCATCTGAGTTTATGAATGTAAGGGCTGACGAACCAGTGTAAAGCTGCGGTTGTGGAAGCACTGAGAACCATTACAGTGCTAGCAACAGCTCCTTTCAGAATAACATTCATGTCAGGTGAGGTCATGAAAGTGATTACAGGGCCCAAGGAAACTGAGAGACAGCAAGTGGAGAGAGAGAGAAGCTTCACTTTCTTTATTGTCGCTGAGATAGGTCCATAGTAGATGAATCCGCTTTCTTTGTCATTTTCTTCGAGTTTTATGTTTTTTGGTCCAATGCTAATCTTGCTGTCATCATCTGTGGTTCTTGTAGCTGCAGAATGTGAAGCCCATCTTTTTTGAGTTGGGATGGACGGAGAGCATAAGTTCAGTATGCCTGTAGGACAAGAAGTGGAGAAGTGGCTCCTTGTTTCATATCTTGAACTATGGAAATCTGGTTCATCAATAAAGAAGGAAATAAATCAAGTTTGCATTCCAGTTTTTACAGTATGTTTACAACATATAAATAGCATATATCAGCTGTATGATAAAATATAACAGATGCCAAAGGTCATTGTCCATTAATAATAAAAATTAACAGGCATAAGCCCCGAAACTTACCCCATGAATAAACAAATTTAATGAGCCTTTTGTATAATTATCAACAACAGAATGGACTTTCTAATTGGAAGCGAGATCCAATTGTTGTCAGCCTTATGCAAATTGGGAGTAAAGTACAGAAACTTTGTTATCGTGTAAACAAATTTCATTATGCATCTTATCAACAATGTAGATCTTTATCAAAATGTAATGAGCCAGACTGCAATAGGTATTCAATTGGGAACAGTGTATGAATCATCATTCTCAAATCGTTCTATCCATTTTATCATTAAAACTTTTTTTTAACAAATTATTTCACAACTTCTATTCACGTTAACTTTGATAGACTCTCTTCCTAATCTTTTAGGACAAATTTTATTTGCCCATCTTATGAATGCATTTTTAACCATTCATTCTACAAGTCCAAACCTCCCAAACCCGCCTCCACCAACGAAAATACTCTCAACATATTCTTAATACAAGCATTCATAATGCTACCACGCATCCATCTTAATATTCTCATTTATAATATGTTTAAATTGATCATTAGCGACTTTTGTTACAAATCAATAATTAGTCAAAAAAGCTAAATTGTTAAGCAACAGCATATTCAATTGAACACAAAGTCGGTGCAGGCACATTACAACAATTAGATTAAATACTAGGAAGAACAATCAAAAGACAACAAGGCAATTATTAAAGTTCGTCAATGAAGAGGAAGAAAACTTAATGACACAAACACATCTCCACAAAAATAGACAGCAAGCTATCAAGCACTATATGCATTCATAAATAATATTTTAATACATTTTCTTTTAATTACAATTTTGCCCAAATGGTCTAATAAATGACCCACAACGGGTTTGATTCACTCATTTTGTCTATAAATCATATAGTTGTAAACATGGGTATGAAATAAGAATTTCTATTTTTCTCTTCTTTCCGTCTTATAGCTTGGAGTTTGCACCTACTTGAAAGGTGCTTCACTTCTTGCTCCATCAAGAAGCATAACAACTCCCCTCTTCTCCACTTAGTCACAGACTTCCAGCCGTTCAGTTCGCCACCCAGTCTGCCGCCAACCTGCTGCAAGAGCCATTCCCATATGCCACAAGAAGCTTCCTGCTCATCTTCGGCCCCTGTCAGCTTTCATTCCAAAGATTTCAACCCTTCGCATCCCAACTGCCCAGCTCCTTCCAATTAGCCGCCACCTATTCAACCCACCACCTTCATGTCTGCAATTTACTGCTGTCCAGTTTTTCCAATTTCTGCAGTCCACCCACTCCTGTAGCCCATACTTCTTCAAGATCCGGATTTCCTGCCATTTCATCTCTCCTTGGTACCATTCTTGTTAACTCCTTGGCTATTTGGTTTCACATCTGCACTCATCATGAAGAATTCTGACCTTGCCAACACATTGCGTTCCATGCAAACGTACCAAAAATCCCAATTTTCAGAAATCCAAAAATAATTTTCAGCAAGCTGACATGCAATTAACATCCGTTGGAACCACTCTACAACAATTTCAAAATTTCATGAACTCTGTGGACAAGCGCCTTGACAGCCTCTGCATGGACAGCCACACAACTCTTCCTCAAGAACCACTACCGTTCGCCAGAATCTTGGGTTCAACCTCCCATTCTCCTTCCCACCAGCAGCCGCTGGTTTTCTTATGTTTTTCGTTCCTTAAAAATATGAAAATTGAACTACCTCGATTTAATGGATCTTATGTGGGAATATGAATATTTAAAGCTCATGAGTATTTCGATTTTCATTCTACTCAGGATTGCATCGTGTTCGCTTTGCTTCATTTCATCTTGAAGGCCCTGCGGCAACATGGTATCAATGGACTCGTATGAAAGACCAAAATCCTTCTTGGCCAGAATTCATGATATCTTTAACAACATTTTGGCACTTCTTCTTACAAAGGTTTGCATGGAAATCTATTGCAATCAACACAAACTCCTTCCGTTCTTGAATATCAAACTTCTTTGAAAATCTTGCTTTTAAAATTTCTCATTATCAAGATCAACCCTAATTAGCTATTTTATTTCTAGTCTTAAATAAGAATTACTTAGGGAACTTTTACTTGCCAAACCTTATGCTCTATTAAATGCCATGGACTTAGCCCGATGACACGAATCAAAATTTCAAGAATTTTTTTCCCTTTCATTATTAGGTAGAGCTCACCAAAAAAGGCTGGATATAAAATATTAAAAATGATCTTTCTTTATTAGATTTAAACAAGAATTTGATTTTTAACATGACACAATGGGAAAAAAGGTTTCATGTAGCCGACCCCACGTATTGGGACAAAGGCTTGATGTTGTTGATGTTGTCATTATCGCATTGGCGCAAAACAAAACCTAATTTGCATTCTACCAAAACCCCTTAATTCCTCTTCCTTCAACCCATCACCCACCACTCCTTCGCCACCATCAACTCTTTCCACTTAAAACACCTTCACTTCCTATTCAAAAACTTCCCCCAGCCAAAATTCAATTTTGTCATGACAAAGGAGTGCTGACCCCTATACGATGAACGAAGCGCAAGGGGGCAAAATTGGTGAATCTAACAGCGCGTGCTTTGACAAAACACATCACTTGAAAGGTCAAATGACATCTAATTTCCAAACGGACTGCACCGTTACGATCAGGACATCGAATTCTTCTAGGTCGAGGCCCCTTGTAATCAAATCAAATGAGATTAGTCCTAGGGGAAGACCGACACCTGAAATTGATGGCGACTGATGTCCAAATGACTTTCGATCGCATAACAGATCGCGATGTTACATCTGGACTATCGTTAACACTCAAGAACTACATCTTCTGCAGTAAATTGGGATCATCCGAAGTTGTGGCCTGGGGGCCAAAGTGACGACACATATCTCGAGAAAAAGGGACCTCGACATCATCAAAATAACCTACAAATGTGAAACTGACTTCTCCATTGCGTTCAGAACGTCCCAAACACCTAAAGATGATAACCAATTTGTTCGCATGAAAATGTGCGAGGTCGATATGCCGCTAATACCTAAGGATGACAGTCAATCGGGAGGCAAAACATGAAATTTCGAGAAAAAATACGCTCGACAACACCCAAATGGCGTCTGATTGATGAACGGACTTCGTCGTTGCGTCCGAAATGCCACTAATATTTAAAACTGATGATCAATTTATTCAATTGAGGTTGCGCACATAAATTGAGGCGATTCTAATGCAACAACACATATTTCAAAAAAATTAGCCTCGACACTGCCCAAATGATGTTCCATCGCAAAGCGGACTGCTCCACTGTGATTAAGACATCGACAATACCCTAAATTCACTATTAATTTGTTTAATTACGATTACCCGGCGAAATTGACACAGAAAATGAGACAAAATGTGCAAACTTTGTAATAAAATGTACGCAAATCGAGACAACTAGGGGAAGAGAGATAAAAAAATGAGAAAGGAAATATTTCTAGAAAAAGAAGAAAACAAAAGTGAAAAAAGTAATGCAAAATGAAAGTTAAAAGGAAATTTTCGTATTTTATTTCGTTGTCGTTGTCGCCAACACTCCACGCACAAGTATAACCTTGAAAACTCAAAACTTTGAGAGCCCATTTTTGGTGTTCGCGGCGCACTGGAAAACCTCCTACACACGCTTTTTTTAGCGTAATGAGATGAAAACCTAGTGCGGCGCATACACAAAATGGGTAATCATCAAAGGCCCCATTTTCGACATTCACGGCGCACCGAAAAACCGCTCATTCACACTTTTCTTAGCCTGGTGGGATGAAAACCCAGTGCAACGCCTACGGTGAAGTAGGGATACTTATAAGTACTCGTACGCGGGGAAACAAGTGTTATAGAAGACCCATGCACACCTTTCTTGGTATGGTGGAGGACGAAAATTACGGCTGCGATATCCAATGACATCTATCATACACGCTTTTCTTAGCATGGAGGGAATGTCCGGATTTCTGTAGTTTCCCCTAAATGGGAGAGATGCCTGGAGGCTGCCAAAATTTTGTCTGAAAAATGACAAGGACTTAGACAAAATAGGGGACTTGAAATGAACAGCAGGGAACTCATCTTGGACTCAAATGGACCTTAAACAAATGATAGTGAACTCAACTTGAATTTGGACATAAATGAAATGAATGATCAATAAAGAAAATAATTTGAATGATAACACAAAAATTTCAATGATATATTAAGGAATCATTGAGATGCAAGTGTTAATAAACGAATTCGCTATTTAAGTCACCTTTAATTGACGTTTAGAGACTTGTAACATCCAATGTGACTCATCCATATGTAACAACCAATTGACTTGTGGCAAATGAATTTTCATATGCCATTTGCTTGCAAGCAAACATAAATAGGCTATAACCAATTGAGTAGGACACATAAGTTAAAATATGAACAATTCACCTCAATTATGAATGATATGCCGATGGGTAAGACATGGAGGATATATGGTGAATGTGATGACTCCCTCACACAACTATGATGCACTATCTACAAACGAAGGACTTGTGACCTAGTTGCAAATATATACATAAGCATATACAGAGTATACATGAGGATTAATGTGTGGCGTTTACATCAATTTTATAAGAAAGCGCGTTGAACAATGATGCTCCCAACAAAATATCCATGAGTGACAGCAAGAGGTCTACCATGATACGCTCATGAGTAAAGCTTGGAAATCTCATGTGTCTATAAGGATGGTAAATACAAAAGCCAATGATAATTGTCCATATTATTGGCAACAATATTGTGGCAAATACACGTCCAACTTCTATAAGAAGAGAGAAATATTGACGTTGGAGGGCTTAGAGGATGATGACTGTTTGCAGCTCCTCAA